ATGTTTATTGTCAACCTAAATACATATATACTTATTATTGCAGCCCGGAGTTTTTTTATGTATTGGATTGAGGTGGAAGAAGTTATTCCGCATTAAAGGTTCACTATACATTAAAAAGATTATACATCATAATGTTCTTTCCCTTAATAAATTAAGAGATACACAATATATTTACTTCCCTGAAGTACATCATTACAAATAGATATGTTTTTCGTACGTAATATACATAGTTGCTTATCATTTACTATCGACAAAACGTTAAATTTTACTTATCGCAGAAAAACGTACGTTACACATTTTGTGTTTTATATTCCTTAAGTCAAATATATATATTTTTTATGATAGGTGATACATGTGTCTGATCTAATTTATAATTTATGCATCCGACAGTTACTTGTGGAAATGATAAGTTTAAAACGGTATCGTTTTTGTTCGTTTTTTTTATCCGATTGGAAGCTTTCCGTATATCTTCTCTACTATGGTCTGGATCATTAAGACGCATGCCTTTATCACAAAAATAGAAGCGTTTAATGATCAAGACTAATTTCACATAGTTATCGGGAAAATTTGGCTGCAAATCAATTAAACAAAATCATGATATTTTTGTCATCTCCCTCGGGAGATGACACATTAAGTTCGTTTTCCGGAAGTGAAGTCCTAGTGTAAGCTGCCATCGATAAGCTGGTGGTCTGGCAAATGACCTGACGATGACACGATTTCTAAATATAGAGATGTAAACAAAATTGAGCGTTCTGCCTTATTATTACAAAATGGTCCATCTTAAAGTAAAACTACACAGGGTTCATTAGGATAATAGAGGTTGGATTGCTGGGGTGGTGGTCTTCAAAATACACATAAACATTGTATCTAGGTTATTGCGTAAAAAGTTATCCTATTTCCCTTGGACCATCAGAGAGTGGAATGATCTACCATCAAAGATAGTCTCGGCGAATACACCTGACACCTTTAGGTCTCAGGTGATCATCTTCTAACCATAAGTAAGAAATATTATTAATATTAACCTTTTAAAGTTTTAATTTTTGGTCATATCATGCGCACCAAATTTGCCATAATAATCAGCTTGTTGATTGTGGGCAATACTTGGCAGAAGCAGAAACGATGGTCAGCGCGCGGGGATCAAAATACACAAAACATGGCATATTGAATGTATCAGCCAAGGCGTAGGTCCAAGATTTACTGACGAAAGAAACACTGAAAACATTCACGTTAAATGCATATATATAATGGCAAAAACTTAACTTTTATATGTATATACTGCCGTATATGAAAAATAAAACAGAACTTATTCAAAAAAATAAATTTCGAAGAAAAGAAATTTTACCTAAAAGCACAATTTAAGCAGAAACATAAATGTCTCTGATTTAAGTAGCTCAGTGCTGCAGGCATTGGAATAAAAATAGTAAAGAATCATTATGAGTATTTTCTCGGATGTCTTCACTATTCTTTTTTTCTTTAAAATTACTCCTGCGGAAAAGTTTTAGGAAAAACACAATTGTCTTTACCTGGCTCAGACTTTTTTAAGGATTAATAAATAAAGCAACTTATCAATTTAATTCTTTATGCAATTCTGATTTGCATTTTTTTGTTAATGGTAAAAAGTAAAAAAAAAATCACTTCTCGTATTCTTAAAATAAAGCCAAAATTATAAAATGTGTGTCTCGTGAAACAGCGTATAAAATCGATGTTGGTAGATTGAGGTTCTTTTCAGTGTGCCAATACTTAATTTTAAATGGTAACTTTTCAATTTTATAACCTTTCTATGCATGCTATTTTCCCACAAGCGTATACGTGTACATGTACTTATATTATATATACATAATATAGCGTTAACACATGAATCTGCATATTGGCAGCAGAAGGATATGATGCAGGAGTGTCTCAATGTTTTCCTTGATATTCCCAGTGGCTCGATAGCCAAGTCACTTCAGAGAATAAGTTTAAAATAAGGAAAATCTTTGGAAATTATGATTGAGGTTCAGATTAATTTAAGTTAGCGCTTTAAAACTGCTTTGCTGTTGTAGTAGGCGACTACAAACTAAAGTCAAAAGAAACGCTAAGGTTTTTGTCCATCTTCATACGGAACAATTGTTTTATATCTAATTTTTACGAATATTTCTCAGTGGTTACTTTTTTTTACAGACATTGTACAAAAATATTCAAAATGAATAAAGCATATTTACAACAAGTAAAATAATATAGGCATGTAGCAACAGGAGGGTCGTCCCCCTTCCATGTTTTTCCCAAACATTAAAAATATTCATTCAAAGGCGCGTCCTTGCCCCATCTTCCATCTTTTGTTGCAGTATGGTACGTCAAATCATCCCATGGGAATGTATTATAATATGAAATATGTTTGTTGGAAAAGTTGTAATTCCCCCTTTCAAGAAATGAAAATGTGGAGTTTGGACAGCCCCTTTTTTCTTCTTGTCAAAGATTGTTCAGATAAGTCGTCGACTTTTTTCTCCCCCCCCCCCTTTTTTTTTCAAAAGCGATACTACTGCATGTAATAGCTGAAAAAATAATGTAACATTCCACTGTTTATTCTGTGACATTCATGAAGCCAAAGAGATGACATTTATGGCTTTCTGGAAAGCCAAACTTGTACTTCATTTAATTCCCGGGCGACATTTGATGGCAACATCAATGGTTACTTGTTTACTCTTCAGATAAGTGAGGTCTTATTGTCACTATATCCTCAAACAATTCATATAGTTAAGTGTTTAAGTGTGCTGTTAATATTCTGCGGAAGTAATGGAATTTACAATCCTCTTTATTTATTATTGTTGAGTCGTCTGCTCTAGAGTCGCGGAGTAAGGAGTTTAATCCTTAGGGCGCGGGTTTGAATCAAACTGTGGGACTTGGAGACCGGTCCTTCGGATAAGACAGTAAAAACCGAGGTCCCGTGTCGCAGTAGATGCTGGCACGAAAAAAGATCCCTCACTGCTCAATGTCCCTGAGTGCCGAGTATGACACAATTTGCAGCTCTCCACCGGCAAATGGTGGCGTCTCCATATGAGTGAAAAATTTCTTGAGAGGGACGTTAAACAACAAACAAACAAAACATAATATTGTTGAATAATTTTTTTTTTTTTTTGGTTTTCTTCTTCAGTTGAAGAACTTCTCTGAAGTTTATTGTCACATAGTTACGTCGACTAAATTTCTTATGAAACCGGTTCTTGTTAATGAATCTATTAACTCTGAACAAGTTAGTCATTTGTATGAACGATTTGCTATGAAACAGAATGCCGTTATCAAGGAAATGATACATTAGCCATCATCTTAGTTCTCACTATGCTCATTCCTCCATGGCATTTGATCCCGCCTCTGTGTTCTGGATGTCCGTGGTTGCTCTGCTTATGATTCTTACTGTTTGAAAGGACATTTGAGCTTGAATACTGTTCGTTATCTCTGTATATTTCATTCTTCCACATCTTTCTTGAAGGTGTTCAAGTTTTACTTTCAGTTTGAAATAATACCTTCTGATCTTGAAAATCACAGATTGCAAAAGTTAGAAAAAATAAAATAGACTCAGAGTAAAATAATACTGTTATTGTTTGGTCTTGAAAAATATATGATTTTTTTTTTCTTTTTTTTCTTTGTTTACACAAAACGTGAAAATATGATCAAATATATAAATATTGGGGTTTTAAAACAAGAAGCGTATGGGCCACAACGCTGACTGAATAACTATTTTAATTATTTTTCTTCTTGTATATTCCTTTGTATAGTTTTTGGATTCGTTATCATGCCAAAACCTTCCTTAATACTCACCGTTCACGGTAGCTCAGTCGGTAGAGCGCTCGCTCCGTGATCGGGAGGTCGTGAGTTCGAATCTCGGCCGCGACAGACCTAAGTCGATAAAAATAGGTAGCAACTGTTCCTTCGCCATGCGCTCGGCACTCAGAAGTGAAAGTTGCGGGTCCTTCGGATGAGACCTTAAAAACCGAGGCCCCGTGTCACGGCAGGCGTTGGCACGATAAAGATCCCTCACTGCTCAATGGCCCTGAGTGCCGAGTAAAGGTCAAAATTGGAAGCCCTTCACCGGTATATGGTGACGTCTCTATATGAGTGAAAAATTCTCGAATGGGACGTAAAACAATATACAATCAATCAATCAATCCTTAATACTGAACCAACGTTTTAACATTGCAGGGTTACATAAGAAAGACCCGTAATTTAATCTTCTTATGCCTGGCACTTGGCCAAGAAAGACACTTAGGGTTGCATACCGTCTAGTAGAAACCGTGCGATACCATGCCGGTACAGTACTTTTAACGATACTTCGATCTCTTATTTTTTTTTATTGATCAATGATTGAATGCAATGTGGATTTAGGACGTACTTATTATACAGATAATGTCTTTATAGCATCTGTTATCATTGAAACGTTAAAAGAAGGGACACAGATAAATTTTAGAAAATAAACAGGTAAAAAGGGTCATAACTCTCAGAAGTAAAAAAAAATGAATAGAATTTCTAGTGAATATACACATCTAGACAGTATATCCATGTTGGACATGTTGGCATTACTCCCAGGAAAACAAAATGAATCAGAATCAAGGCTCTGCCTTAACATTTTTTAACTTGTCCATTCGGACAAGTGACTAGGAAATTTACTTGTCCGACATAATTTTTACTTGTCCTAAATTTCTTCTCAATAAAAAAACTATTTGAAAACTTGATAAATAATGTAAATTGAAACAGAGTCTATATTATATTCACTGATTTTACTTTATGGTCGATACATTCACCTTGTTTGCGAATATAATCTATCTTTAAGTCGAATGTTGGCATAAGTCTTTCAAACGAATTACTGGGCCATTATTAGAGCGAAAAGTTTTAAACACACTGGCGACCCTGTAAATTGGTAATGCAGATGCACAATAACAAGTAGTCCCTTTTCAACTTCTGAAAGAATAAACTCTGTAGAATAAATCTTTGAGACTAGTCTTTATACATTTGAGAAAAAAAGCACAAGGAACATTTAAATTATCTTTAATAGTTTTACAAGCAAAAGAAAGTAAGGCAAATTTGAAAACTCTCTCACCCACCTCTTATTCTCTAATAAAAGACATTGAATATACACACTAAATTTTAAAAAAATTGGAAAAAAAATACTGCAACATTCATGACGTTTTACATTCGGCCAATCAGAAATAGAAAGAAATAGTCCTTATTGTCACATTATACGAAGAAAATTAACACCATTCTATTTGTGTTATTTAATACATGTACCTATTCACACGATTTCTTTTTAAGCTTTGTTTCATATTTTTCGCCATCAATTTAAACAAATCTAGAAATCACGACTGCCAGAATTATGGTAACGAAACTAAGGACAGGTGCTTCAGAGCCAGCTAAAAAAAATAAGAAAATGTTAAGCTATTAAATTAACACCGACGTTAATGTAAAACTATGAAACATGAAAAAATCCAGTGCATTTTTATTTAATTCATGTCCTATGTTTATATTATACATTTATTGACTGGGTTCGAGGGCAACATGCGTTTTGTCGAACCAAGAACCAAACTGTTTGCCTAAGGCCGTGAGGCCGAAGGCAAACAGTTTGGTTCGAGGGTCAACAAAACGCATTTTGCCCGAGAACTTAGTCAATAAATGTTTGTTATACCTTTTATTATATATTTTTTTCTTTTTTATCATGTACCTTTTGCTGGCTTCCATACCAACAAATGCAAATAAGATTTAGCTGATCCAGCCCATTGACGTAAGCGGTCCAATATCTCGTCCACAGGTCCAATATCTCGCTCCGTGGTCAAACATCGATTTTTTTTATGACCGCTCAGTAAAACATTAGAAATGTTAGACTTTTTAAAGTATAGATTTATATAAGAACTAATTTTTAAAGGTATAACAATAAATGTTAATCACACTGTGTATCACGAATAAATCAGATTTAATACGGATGAGATACATGTATGTAGGGACGCTTTAAAATAATGTTTGTTTGCCCTCTCCCGACTCAGGGAATAAAATTTGGGTCGGTAAGTTGGTGAGATTTTTTTTTACAGAAAATTTCAGCATACCTGTTGACAGTATGAGAAAATTGAAAAATAAGGTTTAAAAAGTTTTTAGTCGGGCTATTCTTAGCCAGTCGGTTGGGAGAGGTCAAACAAATATTTTTTTTTTTAAAGATGGCCTAAAAGTTGTCTTATTACTACCTGTTGGTGTAGAACATCCTGCCTGAGACAGGGCATTTCTAGCGGCGTCTATTGTTTGACTGATGTCAGTATCACATGTTTTTGCCGCGGCTTCCAGACAGGTCACATAATCATTGGCGGCCCTATAAATATAAAAAGAAAGAAAATAGAATAAACAGAAATTTACTTTTAAAGAAGGTTGATGTTTACTCTCAAAAGGCCGATGAGTCACCAGAAGCTGGCATATGTGTTATATGTCTGCCGTTCAGGTCATTATATACTGAATTTTTTTGTTTGCTGTGTATTGTTTAATGCTGGAAACTTGATAAATACAGGTCTTGTAGTATAGGTCTACCCCGTAAACTCTTTACCCCTCGGAAAACTGACTCGAGAGTAGAATTCTACCAAGGATAAATAACTCCAATGTAGGATTTCCCACAAGAAAATCCTGCACTGGACTAAATTTACCGGATGAAATCAATATAGTTATAGAGTGCGATATTACCCACAGCCAACCCACCCCACCCCACCTAAATGTTGTTTATTTATAAGAAGACGTGAAGCTTATCCGATTCAGGTACCTCTGAGAAATCACTTTGCTTTATAAATTGATCAAGAACATTTTAGTTCAATCAGAAGTGGTTAAGTTTGAAAATTAGCACTATAATTCCTTGATTCAGAAAGTTATGTTCAAGATCTTTTCAGAGATGTTGTCTAATATTTTTTTTTCTATAACTAACAAGGTTTATTTGCATATTTAAAAGGATAAAAATTAATAACACATGATATTTTTAAGAGGTTGAACGAACAAAACGAGGAAAATGCCCACAGTGCGAAAAATTAGAGATTGAAAAATCAAAACCTGAGTTGCAACAATTTATTTTTTTTCGAAATTTCATTCAATTCAATCCTATTTTTATGTAGAAGCATGCACACACCAAAGAGGACATAAATGATCATTTATTTATATTTTAACACATTTTTGCAAAGGACAAGTGCACTTAAGCAATGCTTCATGGGCCCTTTTTCAGTGACGTTTTACTTTAGAATATATTACCAAATTGTTCTTTTTTGGTAATAGTTAAACACAAGTGGATATTTCTAATTAAAATCACGTTAAAACATCACCTAAATCAGCATGGATTTGAAACAAATGAAGATTTTTTAAGCCTATAACTACCCCAAATCCGGAAAAGTAGTACCGATCCTATTTTGAGTTTCATTTATTTAAATCAAGGGGAGGAGACATTTAAATCGGACACTTGAACAATCTGATGGTGGATCATTGACGGGCGCGTTTGCCGAATGATACTTGTGCTTTTTTTACCTGAGAAAAAATGAAGTTGTATAGATGCCTGTAGCCAGAGTGATCAAACTAAGAAACCTGCACGCTTGCATTTGAAATAATACAATAAGCATTACCATTAGTTCCTTTAAATTTTAAAATGAAAAAAAGTGTATTTAGGTGGCTTTTAATACCGGTACCATTCTTGCATGAATGTTAAAAATGTTTGACGCTTTTATGTATGATGACATTTTACGACACTAAACTCTCCTAACCCTCCCGTGTTCCTAAAACCAAATACATACAAACTTACGACTTATATAATGATACAAAACGTGGCTATCTTTTACAGTGAGCACCTTTGAGGAATGTTTACCCGGGTAGAACTCACGTGGCTACCGGTATTTTAAATAATTTATTCCACAGGTGGGTTCAACATAGGTCATACAGGTAAATAGCTGTCGCTTGCTATAGGAAAAACATTCAACTTTTCATACATTTTTAATGTTTTAAGTACAAGCCTAATCTTGTACAAATTTCCTACTTTCACACAAGTTTTATAAATGTATAATGCGCTCTTTGTCATTCGCAAAAGTTTGTACAACGTTAGGCTGACAGTAAACAAGAGCTTTGAATTGACTGACCGTCCTCGATTTACTATAGAAAATCACGAATGTCGGCTGACCCCTACCACATTGTATGGTTTTGCTCTTTGTATATTCATGAATTTCGGCGATAAAATTTGTTGAATCTTATGGTTTAGATATCAATTAATGATCTGAGATGAAAAATTATGCTTAATTTGAATCTTCATTTTTTTCACATTTTACCGGGGCCCATAAGTGCACTCGTTCTTTAGGATCTTCACTCTAGTGTTTTTGAAATGATGTCTTCAAATTATGTGTAAAAATATACATTTATTGTTTAACAAAATCAAATCCTCTTTACCTTAAAAATACATTCGTATCTTTTTAAGAAAATGTATGAAGTCCATTTATTTAAGGGTCATATCAAAAATAAGCTTTAAATGCCACTGCATGTTATCGTCATCTGATGTGTTCTGTCTTATTTAACGTGCTATTTTCATAGAATAAACAGACGTACACGATTTTTTTTGGCTTGGGTTACATGTAAACCCCAAGAATACCATTTCTTTTATAAAGGTCTATCATATTATATTTGAAAGATATGTTATAAAGAACCATTAAATGGCATTTAGGTGTGGTATTTCTCCTTCAAAGTTTGGGTGGAAACTCCATAATTTTAAAATATATTTTAATATAATTGAACAATTTAAATATTTTTTATACCCCGAGGTTGAAGATCAGGTTGCATTTTGTCTTTGTTTAATCTGTTATGCTAAGTCTGTTACTGTGAAGTGAGCTTTCATATATTTAAAATGGAGTGGTCCTTCCCAACTAGGTTTTTTTGGTTCAAATGAAGCGCAAAAAAGATCAGTGTGTTAACAAGTAGTTGTTTTATTGAAAGGGCATCAAGAACATTCAAGCACCTTCCTTCAATATTTTTACAACGAAGTAGATGAGTGATGTAAGGCATATGTAATCTGTTTCTACTAGGTATAGGGAAAACTGCCCAAAATGCAGAATACTTAGCCACTTTCATAATTAAGTTTTAGTATTATATTGTTTAAACTCCTTGAAATAATTGCCTTTCTTTAGAAATGGCTACACAAGGGGCATTTGTGTTGATCAAATACATCCCGTTTCAGTTAAAAATCTGATAACTTCAAATAATTGCCTTTTATTAGAAATGGCCACAGGTTTTTTTGTTTAAAGTCCTTCACATAATTGCCTTTCCTTAGAAGTGGTCACAAAAGGGGCATTTGTCTTTATCAAATACTTCCTGTTTCAATTAAAAATCGGATATCTTTCCCAACAAATACTAGCCAAAATATTGTCGCTGTGGTTTATAAATACAATAAAGCTTTAATAAGATAGAGGAAACTCTACTTTAGGAAAGGAAAAGGAGGAGATTTAGGATTATTTTGTTTAAACTCCTTCACATAATTTACTTTCCTTAAAAATGGTCACAAAAGGGGCATTTGTGTTTATCAAATACATCCTGTTTTAATTAAAAATCGGATGACTTCCCCAACGACTACTAGCCAATATATTGTCGCTGTGGTTTATAAATACAATAAAGCTTTAATACGGTAGAGGAAATTCTACTCTAGGAAAGGTAGAGGAGTAAACTTGGCTCTAGTGGAAGATTTTCTCCTCTACAGAATAGCTTTGGGAGGTGGAGGGAGTGCTATAGGTAAAATTCTACTCTAAAACAACGGAAGACATACAAGATCTACTTCTTTTTATAAAACAAATTACAGTAAAACACCTTATAACGAAGTTACAGGGAAGGACGATTTTGCCTCGTTATAAAAGTCATTCGTTATATATCCATTAAGTTCACACTATATTCCAAAGCCACGGGGAATGAAAATCACTTCGCTGTAAGCATCAATTCATTATAATCGTGTTTTCTGTACATGCATGAAAAACAGACAGCACTGAAACAACACTGACTTACTTGCATATTTTGTTTTTGTCTTGTCCTGCTGATGAGGCTGCAGAAGTGTAGTCACTACTACACGTCGTTACATCGGAACAACTCTGTGCATCTATCCCTAAGTTATAGATAACATTTTCTTTATAGTTACGCGAATGCTAGCTAACCTCTTTATGTCTTGCTAATTTTCAGTAGTAAAATTCCCACTAATTTATAACAAAAGAGAACTTCTTTCATCTATAATTTCACTCCGACAAGTATTAAGTGTAAACAGCTCTACCCGAATAAAATAAAATAAAAATTGCTAAATAATAAAACTCTTACTCTATAAGTTGCTACTTAAGGTGGCGCATACATAAATATTACTTTCTCACACTACTGACAAACAAATATTTAAAAGATAAAAGCATCAAATCAGTTTAATGTATAATTTTACCTTCCAAGACAACACTAACAAAAATCAATGCTACAAGGAGGGAAACTATTGCTGGTATAGACATCTTGAAATACTTCTAAAAATAAAAGCATTTATTTAAAATCAATTTTACAAATAAAAAATAAATAAGAAACGTAACACGACTTCCCTAAATTCCACTGAAAGCCAACGATTAGTAGAGCGCAAAAAATTTCATGTACGGATCTAGCGAGAATTTATATATATATATATATATATATATATATATATATATATATATATATATATATATATATATATATATATATATATATATATATCACTAAAATGACCAACAAGACAAAAGACAAACAATAAAAAGTTGTCAACTCAGGACAAAGAATACAAGTTAAGAAATCATAAAAACAAAGGAGATGGGGAAACAAAAAACAACTAGCACTACTACTAAACTACCAAACACTATATATTTTGAATGTTACATATTTAATTTAAAGTCTATAACCAGTTGTAAAGAAAGAAATCCGGACCGCTATTAAATACGTTTGGTCTGTCGGGTGTAATATATACTGTCTTTTTTTTTAGCACTGTGGACTTTCAGCATGGTCTCGTTTATAAAGAAATTTCAAATCTCACCGGTTTCAGTTAATTTATCGTTATGACTTTTTAAATAAAATAGTGCTTGAAAATTACACAGCCATGACGTAGCATGATATCACATTTCCTCTATCTACTTACGATTATGCTGTCTCTAATTATAGAATGTATGACTGGTTTTGCACACGACTTATGTTTCCTATGAAATTTAGCGGTAATCATTCATTCAGCAAATAATGTATTTATTTTTAGCTATAACTTTGCTAAGTAAATTCCTGAACAAAATAACTAACCACGGAGTATGGGGGGGGGGGGATTTAAGTTTTGAGACAGTGATTATTTTTCTTGTTTATCAAAAGTTTTTTTCCATGTAAGTTTTTTTTCTGATTGCCCCCATTAAAAACGATACTATGTCTCTAATTACTAATACTTGCATGAGAGCTAAAGTTTCATTTCCTTGCAACTTTAATTAAAACTCTGTAAAAGTGTGAGAATTAACTTATCTGCAGAGTTCTTTTTCTTTATAAAGATTTAGCCCATTTGATTTCACGTCTCTCTTCCAATTCCACAAAAATATCAACATCTTTCTCGATACAAATTTTTCAGGCGGCTTCAATTGTGTTTTGCTATATTTAGATGAGTATTTTAATAGGGCTTTTCTTTATATTCTATACTGAGTAGTCAGTTTGAAGAAAAATGGTGAAATAAAATTATATATCTTTATATGCTTTTAAAGAATATAAAATAAAATCAATTAAAATAAACAAAAATATCTAAAAAATTACTTCAAGACATTTCAAAAAACTGACTTTATGATCCTATGCCAATCGTTCCTTTAAAAGAAATACATATTGCAATTTGACACTAACCTTTATTTAAAAAAAAAACAAATATATGCCACTAGATTGAATCGTTATTTTAGGCTAAAATAATTTTTTTCCGAGGAGAAAAGTATATTAAAAAAAGCCGCATTAATATTTTTGTTATAAAATTGAATCTTAAAAAACCGAAATGGGAACATACCTTTACAACACCAACTTAATAGTTGTCTTTGATATAATAACGTAAAGCCAATGATTGTTCAATTCAGAAAAACTTCAATCTTCATATATATAATTATTTCTTCCGCTCTCTGTTTTGATTGGCTCCTGTTGTCAAGTGCTTTTATTTTCACTCAAAAATCATCATTTTATTTTACGTATGATGCACGTCAAGCAGACACCGCCGTTAAGTTGAACATTTTATATTTTTAGATGTTTAGTGATACTGATAGACAATTTTCTCCTTTTTAAAAATGATATAACGTAATTATTTATAAACAAAACTCAAGTCAAAGATTTAAAATAAAAATAGAAATTGTATGTCATGACGCTGTCTTTTATCGGAAAACGTCATTTATTTTTTTTTTCTCAATTCCATGGCTGTGTTGTAAAAACTTCACAAGAAAAATCACTTGGTACAAGAGATGGCATTACATATGTGTTTTTTTAATCAATTCTGTATTGTGTCTTATTATGATCGATAATTTAGCCTTTCAGAAGAAAATTCAGGTTTATGCAACACTAACCCCCCCCCCCCTTCTAAAACAGAGCTCAGACAAGAAATATCAATTTGTTTTTGCGTTTTTATTTAGTTTTTGTTTCTGGTTTAATTAATTTTGTTTCTTTTTTTCAAGTTTATTCTTTAATTCAATTTTCTTTTTCTTTTTTTTTTTTTGATCATTTTTATTATGCCTTTCTATGATCATTGATATAAAACATCGGCAGATAACTCAGATTCATCTAATACTAGGGGCTTTTATGCCCCCCTCCCCCCAGAAAGAATAAAATAGTCCAAATCAGATTGTTTGTTTGTATGTGTTTATTTTTCAGAAGTTTTTTGCGCTATTTTATGCTCTATATTTGCACAATTTTATAGGAAACTCAGATTTATGTAATAACAGAAACAGCAAAAGCTGATGTTTATTGTTTAAAGTGTTTACATGTATATTGTTATATGTCATCTGTACATTAGTTACAATCGTGAGTACTTACACAGAACAGAGAAACCTACAGAAGTGCTACAAAACATCATTTATAAGCATCCAAGCTTGTTATGGAGACTTAAATTCTCAGATTTCGTTATAAAAGTAATTCGTTATATCCTTTGAGTTCACAATATATTTTTAAGCCACGGGGAATGGAAATCACTTCGCTCTAAGCATCAATTCATTATAAGCGTCTTCGCTATACGTTTATTTTTTACTGTACATGCATGAAAAATAGACCGCACTGAAACAACATTGATTTACATACATATTATGTCCTTGTCTTGTCCTCCAAATGTTGCAGCGGAGCCGTAGTCCGTGGTACACTTCAATGCATCTTGACAAACCTGTGCATCTATCACTACTGAGTAATAAAGGACATTATTTGTTTTGAAAAGAAAAAGGTGGGCAAGGTCAGCCAGCCAGGATTAGTAACATGTATAGTGGAATATATAAAAGTGCAATGATGATAATGAAGAATGATAACTATGTAACACATTTAAGATGATAAATATTCTTTATTAATTATTATTCTGCATCAACACGACTCTGCCACAATTACAGCACATACATTAAAAAGGAGAGATGATTAGGTCAACAAAATTAAACGTTGAAAAATTCAAACAAACTTGATTGTTTTACTTTCAAAATACAGACGTGTTTTATATTATGTAGAATAAAATGGTTACCAAAATCCCAAATAAAATCTAAATTTCTGTCATATCGGTAGTTTCCTTTCACTAATTGCCTTTGTTTTTCCTCTTTCCTATAAACTTTAATGCTAATCGGTACCGGAAATCATACAATACTTACCTCAGCTGAAAGTCACAAACACATTACCTATTTGCAACACGAAAACCAACAACGGCAACAGCAACGACCAACACGATTTTCTTTACAATTTTAAATAGATCACCTCGAGGCAACATTGTCTTACTTGCATCATTTGTCCTTGTCTTGTCCTGCCAATGCTGCAGTGGAGCAGTAGTCTGTAGTACACTTCTCCGCATCTTGTCACACCCAAGATATAAATTACATTTTCTTTGTAGTTACACGAATGCTACCTTACCTCTTTTTGTCTTGTTTATTTTGAGTAGTATAATTCCCTCTAATTTATAACAAAAGAGAACTTCTATTTATAATTTCATTCCGACAACTGTTATGTGTAACCAGCTCTACCCGAAAAAAAAATAAAATAAAAATCGCCAAATAATAATACTCTTGTTCTTTCAGTTGCTACTTAAGGTGGCGCACACATTAATTTAACTTTCTCACACTGCTGACAAACAACGATTTGAAAAATAAAAAATCAAATCAGTTTAATATATAATCGTATCTTTCAGGACAACACTAACAGACAACAATGCTGCAAGGAGGGAAGCTATAGGTAGTATGGACATCTTGAAATATTTCTATAAATAAAGGTATTTATTAAAGGTAAACTTTACAAATAGTGTACAAGGTCACTTAAACTAATTTTTAGGCTTTGCTAGTTAAATTCCTGAACATAATAACTAAACACATAGTATCAGGGAGGTGGGGGAGGGGTTCAAGATTTTAGACAGTGGGTTTTTCTTTTCATTTGCTTGTCAAAAGTTTTTTTTTTTTCCATATAAGTTTATTTTCTGGTTGCTCCCTTTAAAAACGATACTACATCCCTGATTACTAATCCTGTTAATAAGAAAAAGTCGGTGACGGAACGGAGCAGACTATTTTCATAAGAACTAAAGTTTTATCGATTATTTCCTTGAAACTTTAATTAAGAACTCTGTTCAAGTTTGATAGTAAACTTATCTTCAGAGTTATTTTTTCTTCACAAAGATTTAGCTCCTCTGATTTCATGTCTCTCATCCAATTTCACAAAAAAACTTCAACAATACATCTTTCTAGATATATTTTTAAGGCAGCTTCAATTGTAATTTTATATGTTAAGAAAAACATTTTGATAGAGCTATCCTTTAAATTCTATACTCAGTTTAGAAAGAAAAATGTTGAAATAAAATAATAAATCATTCTTCTCTTAGAAAAAAAAATATTAAATAAAAATCAATTTAAACTAGTTTTAATTTTAACGGGGATCGTTACAGATGTTCCCCAAACGCTCCCCAACTCCCTTATGCGCGCCATCCCCTACAAGTATCATTAACTTAGGCAATTCTGTAGTTTAATAAATCTACACTATTTATATATGTAAATCAACAGTTAGGTCTTCATCACATTCGCACCAAACTTTACTCTGTGCCTTTGAAATTTTTAGATAGTCTACTTGAAAAGGTCAAGGAAAGTCCATTTTTTTTTATTCCTCTCGACACCAGAATACAGGCTGGGATCTGTGATTATGGATATTGCAAATCATAGGCTTTTTAAACCGACACGTTTTACAGAAGAAAATGCAGCTAAAACAACCCGTCTTTTATTAAACTCCAATATGCCAACAAAGGAATTGACGCGGTTAATGTAAGTAATATTCTTAGTCACAAAAGGGTCCACTCTTGTATTCCATCAAATTTCAAGTTGAAGACTACACCTTATATTTCCTACAAATATACATCGACTTTTGCTTCCTAACTTTTTTAATTACAAAAAACTTCACAGGACCTGAATATCGAATATCTGAAACATAATCCTCCATCGTGTTCATATTCTTCTTCACCCTATAACTATAGTCCGGCTGGACACGTTATTACTGGTGACGTAAATATAATTAATAATGAATACTAAATATAGGGAGCCCCGATCCTTCAACTGGCGTAGTAATTTCATACATATTATGGATTCTGTAGAGGATTACGCCAGGCATTGGGTCAGACATGAAAAAAGAAGACATTGACACTTTGTCAAATGGATTAATTTTATCAGATATATGTTAAAATCTCGCATTAAGCGATTGAGGGGCAGTATGAAAACCATCTATCCTTCTGTATTCAACAATTCAGAAGTGAAAAAAAAAATAGATAGATTACACGATCAGTACGTACTGGTCCCTGCTGACAAAACAGCTAAAAACATTGTCTTTGTTTGTAAGGCTCATTATATAAATTGTATTTTAGAGGAACTGGGGGTTTAATTCTACAAGTGGTAATCCAACTTATACCCATAGCTCCCTTTCTAAGGAGGAAATTCTTCAAAATCATATGTCGGTTTTGAATATTTTTGATATTCCAAACAATCAAAATGAAACTGAATTTCCATTTCTATATTGGATTCCGAAACTTTATAAAAATCCTTACAAACAAAGATACATAGCGGGTTCTAGTGAATGTTCTACCAAGCCTCTTTCTTTACTCCTCACTAAGATATTAACAATAGTGAAGGAGAAACTTTAAGTGTACTGTGCTACAATATATTCGAGAAGTGGTGTAAATCAGATGTTAATACTAAGAAATTCCAAGGAACTTATGAAATCACAAAATTTTACCAAAATCAACAACATATAAAAACTTACGACTTTTCAACTTTATATACAACTATTCCCCACGATAAATTAAAGTCTAGATTTTCTGACATAGTTGACAACTGCTTTTTCAATAAAAATGAAACTTGTAAATTTACTTACCTTGTCATTGGTCATTTGCAAAATTACTTTGTTAAAAACAATCTGAGTGTACACACAAGTACTCTGAAGTTGACATTAAAAAGATGCTCGAGTTTCTGATTGACAGTATCTATGTGGTTTTTGGAGACCAGGTCTTCCAACAAACTATTGGAATTCTCATGGGTACCAATTGCGCCTCGTTATTAGCAGACCTATTTTTGTATTCATATGAAGCAGAATTTGTTCAAAATCTTCTACGTGAAAAGAAGAAAACACTTGCTGTGGCATTCAACTCGACATTAAGATATATCGACGACGTTTGTTTTGTTTGTTTGTATGTTGTTTAACGTCTCTCTCGAGAATTTTTCACTTATATGGAGACGCCACCACTTGCCGGTGGAGAGCTGCAAATTTTGTGCCATGTTTGGCACTTACGGCCATTGAGCAGTGAGGGATATTTTTCGTTCCAGCACCTACTGCGACACGGGACCTCAGTTTATAAGGTCTCATCCAAAAGACCGGTCTCCACGACCCACAGTGGGATTCGAACCCGCGACGTAAGGATCAACTCTTTACTTCCAGACTCTAGAGCAGACGCTCTAACCACTGCGCCACACGACGTATTGTCAATTAACAATGGTTTTTTCCATTCTTATGTCGATACGATATATGCCGGTGAGCTTGAGATAAAAGATACCACAGAGTCTGACACATCTGTTTCAAATTTGGATATTTTACTTGAAAAAGACGTTAATGGTGATCTAACAACCAAGCTTTATGATAAACGTAATGACTTTAACTTATCAATCGTCAACTTCCCTTACTTATGCAGCAATATACATTTATCACCTGCATACGGGGTTATATCTCTCAGCTGATTCGATACGCAAAGCCATGCTCTATGTATGTACAATTTCTAAAATGAGGTAAATTATTGACAAACAAGTTGATGCAACAAGAATATCAGCAGTCTCGTTTAAAGTCATCATTTCATAAGCTCTATGGTCGATACAATGACCTTGTCAGCAAATACAATTTATCATTGAGTCAAATGCTGACTGACGTTTTTCATACTAATTGTTAGGCCATTATTTACACACTGAATTGTCGACGGATTTTTCCGTTATTTCCTGATCATGACAAGGAGCACACGGCGGATGTGACCGGTCGGAAGGGGATGCTCACATCTCCATGGCACCTGATCCCACCTCTGATGTTTTGGAGGTCCGCGTTTGCTCTGCTCCTATTTTGTATTGTTTAATGGACTTTTGAGCTTGAATAATGTTTGTTATCTCCATATATTTCATTTATAACCCAACTGTTCTTTCTTCCTATCCAATTAAGAACTTGTGTTTTAGATGCTTTTGTTCGTTATCTCCATATAATTCATAATAACAAATAATCTCTGGAAAGTTTTTAAGATTGCTTGAGAATTGATTCGTCAAAAGATTTCTTTCATCCGTTGTTGATTTTTTGCTGTTTATTATAGGAAAGGTGTGAAGATAAAAAAGAGTGGTCAATCTCCAAAAAAGTAATCATACAAATCCGTAAACAGGGTATTAAACAGATAAACATAATGCAAAACTTCCAAAGAATTTGAAACCGCCATCTTCTCGTCTGTTATTTGCGAACGTTAAAGCTGATTTAATGGCCATGGGCATCCTATAAACCGTCTCTGTTATTGTGTTGCTGGTAAAATGAAGTTTGTGACCGATAAATCAGCACTTCCAACGCAAATAACAAATAAAAGTCAACCTATATTAAAGTGGAATAAAATCGAACAAGTGATCCAGCATATATTATGTTAGATACGCAAGAG